AACAATTGTCTTGATTTCCTGCTTTAGGTTCCCACAAAGAGACATTGCACCAACATTGTCAGGTTTTCTGACAATGCTAACATCAGATCAAAGGAGGTAACACAGACTATCAGATGAAACTAGAAAAATACACGTCTTAAAAGGGGAGAAAGACTAGCTTTATAGATGTAGAAATATACACATAGACCCACATGTAACCCCAGGTTTTCTGTCGTGTTGCAGACAGTGAAATGGCTAGGTTTAGATCATATGCATGCACCACATATATATATACCTCCCAGTCTAGGGTGATGGCATTCCAAGGATGGGAGAGAAGACCTGGATCACCCCAAGAGGTCTGTTCTGGCAATCACCAGCCCACAGCAGATGCACACAAGCATCTGGGGGAGATGGAGACAGGTTGGTTGGTGATGCCACAGCCAACCTTTCTGGTTCCACACAGATAGCTATCAAGCTGCAAACCACACACTCCCTATCTCATTCTTCTGTTGTTTGTCTGCACAAAGAAACATAAAACCATATGCAGGCTTTCACTGTCAATATAAGTCATTTTATTCTAGTAATTCAATCCAGGTCCAGAGCCTGAGAGCTCCTTTTCCTCCCTTTCCACCCTTTTTGCTCCCCTTACTGTTTGCCTCTCCCCAACCTTGTTTAGGTTTGAATGCTGTGTCATTAAATTCCAGAACAGTAAACACTGCAGCTTCTCTAAGCACCCAGTGCTTTCTAGGCTAAAAATTAAACATGGAGTAATTTCATTCCTGCAAGGACTCTGCCTTTCATTTTCCTTTATGCCCAACTTGAAGGATGCTTTTGGCAGATGCATAGTGAAGGGAAAAAAAAAATGTTTGCTCTCTGCTTCCTCCCTGCACTCCCCCCTTTTCCACTCCCACCCATCAGCCATAAAACAACACAGCCCAGCCAGATCCCAAACTGAAAGCAAGACAAAGCACCCACACAGCCCCCACTTCCATTCAGCAGAAATGGGCCGCTCCAGGGTAGCCCAGGATCTACAAGTAGGCCAGACTGGAATAAATAGAGTAAACAAAGGGTATCCTGTCCAAGCTGAGAGGGGCTAAAGAGAGGGATGTCTTTCATTAACATGCAAGGCAGGGATGCAAGCACACAGACAGTCAAAAGCATCACTGGAGCTTGCTATTAGTAATAGGAGGAAAGCAGCACATGATCACACCACTGTAAGGACCCAAAGCACATCACTCAGCTGCACACAACCTCATATCCCACCTACCAAGAAGCAAAGCAAGGCAACCCACACACCCACCACCACCCCAAAACATCAGGGGCAGCCCCAAAGCTGCTGCAGCACAGTGTGGCTCTCCAGGAGGCTGGGCAGGGAGCAGTGCACACAGGTACAGCACCAGGCGACCAGGGCCATGCAAATGTCAGAGTCAATGACATTTAAAAACAGCACATCTGTCATTTTAGGAATGGGAGAGAAAAGCACAGCACAGCCGTAGCAACAGGTCAAGTGTTTGCCAGAGAGAAAGGGTGATGCATGTAGCTTCTCTGTTTTCAGAGCATTTGTCATGTAATAAAATCATTAGCCTGGGAATTGATGAAAGAGTTTGGTTTAGTTTTTTCTCTATCCTGCTGCTATAAAGCCCATACAGATCCATGTGTGAAAGTCCATGATCTGTATATCCCTGCATCAACCATTACACAGCTATCACAAACAACCCTCACGTTTTTCCAGACTCACAGGAAAAATGCAGCACATGGAGAGGTGAGCAAACAGTCAGGAATTCGTAGCAAAACAGCAGCCTGTCGGCTGCAAGTCTGCTCAGTTATTGGAAAAAATTGAACATGCTGCTTTTTTAAAGCAGCCTAATCATATTTACTATTACATCAGACTTACACACCACAAATTGTTCTCATGCAATGGAAGAATTTTTAATCTAATATCTTGGACTCAGATAATTTTCCAGCTGCAGAACTGCAATAATTTCCTATCTTCCCATTGTTGAGATAAGCCGATTAACTTGGATATGTTTTAGTTTCAGAGTGTGATTATCTCCCTTTATTTTACTTGAGAGAGAAAGCTTGCTTACAGTAAAATAACTTTGTTTTCCCCAAGCCAGCTCTTAAACTCTCCTTTTCTGTGTCTTTTCTGTTGCATTGTCCTTAGCCCATTCACTTTCCACACTTCCTCTCTCAGAGACACTATATGAACAGTTACTATTATTTTACTGAAAAAATTACACTGTTCAAGAAATCCCTGAAATAATTCTTAAAAACAACTAAAAATCTCATTAACAAAATATTTTCTTTTTTACAATATGTTTGAAAGCTTATTAAATACCCCACAACTCAACACTACTGGTAAAATCCTGTTTGTACTGTTCCTTTGCTTTCAGGCATATTTGAAGAAGAAGAATTGCAAAAAAATGGATGAGGCCTGAAGCTCTGTTTACATGCACAGTGCAGCAGAACAGGAAGCTCCATTTATTTCAGTAGAAGTGATTTATGCTCAAGTAAGGGAGAAGGCAAGAAAACCCTTGAATTTATACCATTACAAATTGTAAAATACTGCTTACACCATCTTGGTGGGATTTTTCGACATTTAATGTTTTTTCTTAAATTCCCAGGTCATAGATTTACTCTATTATGTCAATGGGACTTCCTCTCCTGCTTTATTTCTTTTTCCTTGCACTTCTGGCAATCGTATTCTAGGAGAAAAGCCTGAATTCATAAGATGAGGACAATTTTTGGACTGCTAGGTTGCATATGCTGAAGCCTTGATTTCCTTTTATCTCCCAGATCTCACTTGTGTTCAGGGCTTTTCAACCTGTGTTAATTTGCAGACAAAATTCAACACTGGAAATGTATGAATTACACATATGCAGATTCCTTTACAGCACATATCAATTCATTCCTCTTAGTCACCATTCATTAATTCCTTTGAAATAAATGTTCATGGTTGAAAAGCACTAGTTTGATGATTTAATGGGAATGTGGCTCATGTGTTTTCCTGTACAAGATTAGCAATACTAAAAAAGAGCCAGCCTGTTTAAAAGGGAGACTCTCCAAACAGCTATTTTGGTGGAAAGAGAATGGTTACATAAACATGAAAGGGCAAGAACTTCTTAATATTATAGATGGAGCAACAGAACAAATGAACATTTTTTTACTTCCTATAAAAAAAGTATATAAAGTAAACCCAACCCCTATTCATGCACAGCAGTGTTCCTCACAGCTAAGCCCATAAAACCATCCCTATTCCCAGTAAGGTGATGGGCAGGCCATGGTTCTCCTCTGTAGGAAAGGAAAAGCAGACAATGTCCTCTACTGACTGCAGTGAGGGCACTTGTGTCCCTGAAAACATTTGCACAGACAAGAGCTTGCAGTATAAAAGCAGAGCTCCCATTACTGGCTCACTAATATGGGCACTATTCTAGGAAAGCAGCCCTAGGAGCAGATCCAGAAAAATGGTAAAAAACATGAGAGGAGGTAGAAAAATTACCAAGAGCCTGGGCTCTTCTCTGCTCATTCTTACTGGCAGTGACAGCATGGTAGAGAGGATGGGTGGTGAAATGCCAGAGTGCTGGACATACAACCTGGCAGTGCTTGTGGCTTTGCACCACTCGACTCCGTTTCAGAACAATTATTTCTTGACATCCCAAGATACAATTTCTCAGCTACCTTTAATTTATTTTTTTTCCTAAAAGGTAGTAAAATCAAGGTTAAATTTTTTGCATTAATCTGATTTAAATTCTAGTAATTAAATTTGCCTAACAGATCATATAATTATTTTGGGTAATTTCCCAAAACCTTTACACTTCTACCCTGCTACAGAGCAAGCCTATCCACAAAATACCAAAATAGCTTAGTCTCCAGGCACCTTTACCTAACAGCAAGTGTTAGCAGGTAACTAATGATGTCTGGATTTCACCACTAAGGAGCTACAGAATGAGTGGCTTTCTACCACCCAGCTGAATTGAAACCTGAAGAGTTAAAGTGAACAGGTCTGCATCCCATACCACCAGAATCCCTTGTAAGTTAAAGTCATCCTGCCAATTCCAGTTCAAATTAATCTAGAGCGGATTAAGTCAACCTTTTATGCTATTTTCTAAATGAAAACAGATGTACATGTAAAACTGGTATTTAAAAGGGTTTTACCTAATAATGAGTCTGGTAGTGACAGAACAATCACCATGAAGATCAAGGTAAGAGGCAATATAGTCTCATTAATAATTCAAATCTCAGCATGGATATTGATGACCATGCACTTAGGGAAAACTGGGCAGCAGCTGGAGCTGGCCCAGATTTCCTTAAAAGTTGCTGGGCTGCAACAGAGACACACTGGAGAGATCTTACTGTAAAATCCAACCAGAGAAATGGCAGATCCTTATTACTGAGGTATCTTGGACCCTCAGCAATACCACTTAAATGGAACAAGGAATAAAATACAGCATTAGAAGTCTATTGAAAGACAATGGGTGAGAAAAATAAGGGAATAAAATCTGGAAGCAAAATGTCACTACTTTCTCTTCCTCACATCCCTAATATTTGCAGCACAGAGCAACAACATTCAGCAGTACCTAATTCCAGTTACTGCTTCAGAGCAAGGAACATTAAAGGCTTTAAAATAAATGTGTACAATCGGCAAAGTGCAAACAAACAGAAAGGTTGTAGGAGCCAAAACTCAGAACAAACCAGTTGGGGCTAGTTAACATAATCTGCTCTATTCACATAACTAAATTTGTTTCACTGAGGGCATGAACTTTCTTGGAAAAGCTCAAGTAATTAACTGCAGGAGCTTACACATTTTCTTTCCCTCAAGTTTACTTTACCCTGGAATTAGAGCTGCTTACACACAGCTACTTTTACCATTTCATTCAAAAAAGCTGAGTTTTGCTTGTCCTTTCCAGAGGGACATGCCTGAAGAGGTGGTACCAGTGAACTGTGGGATTCCCTTCAATTCCTCCTGCCTCCTATCCACTCTTCCCATCACTTCAATTGATACAAAGAAAACCATATCCTACCTCACGGAAAAAGATCAGGTTTCCAATGAAAGGAAGAGGTGGAGGATGTCGGATCCCTACTCTGCTTAGTTTTGAGAATGCAGATGTGGAGTACCTGGAAAAAAACAAGGTAGTAATTTAATTTTGGATCTTGTCATGATAGGACTTGCCACAGTAACTAGCTCAGATTACTTCCCTGTATTCAGAGAGGGAGACGAAGCTTTCTATGTTGGTCAGACAGAACTGCCAATGTGGTTACGTTGCTTGGCAGCTCCTCAGGTCACAAAGTAAATGCAATGCTTCAGAGAGGGCAAAAGGACCAAGTGACTCAAACACAAGCCTGCAAAATTGAGCAGTGGAATGAGAGAGCTGCTCCTCTTCCCACAGAGGGTCTTGTAAGTCAGAAGTAACTCTCCAAAGCTACATGAGGTTACAAATGAGATCAAAATACACATTTGAGGCTTGACTTCTGCGGCATTGCTGGGAAAGAAACTAGACAAATTTTCAGATTATTATTTTCTTCGTCCATCACCTCTACCTATACAGGTCACAGAACAGAAATTCAAACAAAAATTCACTCTCAGTTGTCCATGAGCCAAGACAGTGTCAGTATGTTCAAGTCAAGCCTAGTATTTGGGTTAGATATGTTGATTGAGTGATTTTTTTAGAGCTGCTAGTCAGAAAATTAAAAAAATATAAAAAATACAGGGAAACAAAACCCAGACTGAAATGCTTAATGCATCCCTTGTTTCAGATAAAACAGTGGCATGTTGACAGGGACAATACTGGAAAAACAAAGACAGGCTCTGGGGTTGGGTTTTTCTTTTTCCTCCCCTCCCCCTTTCTTAATACAAACAATGGATTTAAGTCAATGGACTTCAATTAGTGAAACCTGAAAGAGCAGGAGCTAGCAACAGCAGCTTTGATTACCCAAAGACACAACTTTCGTTGTGCAGTTCTGTTTGCTGAGATTTCCTGCAGCACAGTACCTATTTTCTTAATGAATTTTCTTTTGTGAAGACATTTTACAAAAATCATAATCAGGAGATTGAGGTTTAATAATTTCTAAATAGCAAGAATTTTCTTTTTTAACAAGGCAGTACAAACCTTCACAAACACAAACCCTCTCACAAACTCAATAGAAATTATGTGTATTCAGTCTTTGCAAGGACACTGTGTCAAGTATGACAAGGTATTGTGAAGTAAAGGCACAGAAGTCAACATTTATTACACATTTTATACATATTATTGATTTCTTGGCTACTTAACTGCTTTAAAAATATGAGATTTTCCTCACCTAATACATTTGGGAAAAGAAATGTTTTAACTTTAACATGACAAAACAGCCTACATGATACATTTTCATCCCCAAAGAGAGGATTTTTTTTTTTTTTGCTGCTGCTGCTGCTTGAAATCTTCCTGAAGTGTCTTTGTGTCATAGCAAAGTCCTTATCTTCAGTATGTAAACAGTGAAAAAGATTAAAATCCCTGTCATTGAAAACCTGTCAATTTTGCAGTATTCTATCCTGATGTTTTCACTGTAAAATACATGCCAGATCACAAAACACCAGGCTGGGCTACGGTTAACTGCTCATTTCATCACACACCAGACGGTCTCTAGACTCCTGGTTTTCATGTACAGCAAAGTGAAGAGTGACTGCAATAGAGGCTTACACCAGACAAAGTAAATGATGTGATCACCAAATATTTTAAAAGTAAAAAAAAAAAATAATGAGTACCCTTTCACAAGGCAAGAAACACAGAGACTGTGAAGACTATTTATACTTAGATGAACAGTTCATCATTGTCAGCTTCTGAACATTACTGGCAGCCTCATACAGCTGAGGATTTGCTTTCCTTTTCCCCCTCCTAATGTGGTTTTTTTCTACTGCTTTTTATTCAGTTGCATTTGAAGTAGGTTTTTGAAAGGTAGGGAGCGACACTTTACAATGAGTTGGGAGAGAGAAGCAGTGTCGTCAAGCTACAGACTGAAATAAAACAACAAAAGGGTGAAGCCAGCAGGAGAAAAAAAGAATCTCATCAGTAAATACATCTAGCTCTACTCTATGATTTTACAACATTTCTGGTGTTGTTTAAACACCTGATGTTTTACAGAAAAGAAAATAGTATGTACATGGCCAAAGACTGACAGGGCAGCAGGCACAGAAGAAGGATCTAACACTGCACATGTAGCCTTAACTTTGGCCATTTTTTACTTTCTGCAGCCTTAAAGATTAAAATCTTCCCCCCATCTCTGCAATATTTCCATTCATTCTGAGTATTTTGGGTGAGGGAGAGAGAAAGAAAAGAGTGACTTATGGACTTTAAAAAAAAGGAAAAGCATAATTGTCCTGTATAACACACAGTGAACACCAGCAATACATGAATCTGACAGCTTTGTAGCACAAACCTCTGCCTTTTCAGCCAGAAGAGGCTGATAATTCAAACAGGCCAATTTATGTCATTTGGTCTCTCAGCATCTCCAGGACACACTCTTGGCCAGTAACTCAGAGCTGCATCCTAAGGGCACTGGGAAAAGAGTGTCCAGGTTTTGTTGCTGTGAGGACAAGGTGGGCTAGAAGCTGGGCAAGTGCAAACAGGCAGTGTGGCCTCATAGGCAAAGCCATTAGTCTGGAGAAGCTGTACATCTAAATGAAACAGCTCCAAGCCTGCCTTGTGACCAGTGGGAAGTCTTATTTCTCACTCTGCCACTTATTACACTTCTACACTACTTTATCACAAAAATTAATCTGGTATCAGGAAACCCCCTGCTGTTGCTGTGGGTACACAGTGATGGTAGAAGATCAGCCAATGGACTAGAAAGGCTAAATCAAATGCAAAATCTAGAAATAAAAGATAATAAGAGGTAATAAAAAGATACTAAGAGGTGGCCAAGATAACCAAGAAATGGAACCACTTCCATACAAGAAATAAGCTAACAGGCTATGATGTTAATCATGGTGGGGGGGAAGCAACTGATGCAGATTATGACACATATATTTTAAATCATGCAAGGCTTAAAAAATAAATGAGGAATTATTACCCAAAAATTTAAACTACAGTATGAAAATCCACAAAGGAATATTCAGGTGGCAGGATTAGGCATGAGACACTTTTCCAAGAAATAAATATACTAACTATAGAACTCCTTACCACTGATGATTTTCTACTCCAGAAATTTAAAAAGCTTCAAAAGGTGATAGAATAAACTAATGGGAGGTGGAGGAAGAGAATCTGCAGATACTTTTAGCTAGTAAATTTAACAAATGTAAGAGAAATATATGGAAAACATTAAAGGAAAGGAAAGAAAACAAATCAAATTTATTTTCTTAATCAGGGAACTAGTCTGTAAGCTTCTAATTGCATAATAAGATATTAGACTTTTATAATAGCTAAAAGATAAGAAAGCTGAAGTGTCTGGGGTTTTAAGAGGAATGAGTCTGTGTGAAGTGAGGGGCATGAAACAGATAAAACTCTGATGGCAGCAACTTTTATTGGACAATCTAGTACATTCTCACTCAAAAGAGAAACAAACCCTAATATTTACACAAGTACGGCTTCCTGCACAACCCTTAATTTAAAAGCTTGGCATTATATTTTGAATTAAGTGACAAGACATCAAAAAGAACAAGAGGAACAGCAGCAATGAAGTACATCAATAAACAATTCAGAAACCCTTTGAAGACATCAGATGGCCTCTGAGAGCAAAATGCTCTCTGTATATATTAAACACAACTGTCAAAAGAAAGTTAACATGCCAAATACATTCCAGTAGGCCAGCATGGCAGATACAAACTCTGAAATACTAACTTCTCTCCACAAAATACCATTTAAAAAAATTTAAAAAGGGAAATAGATAAATAATATAAGTTGTGAAGGATATACAACTAACAGAACTAGCCATCTGTCCCAGCCAGGTCAGTACTGATAGAAAAATTATTATGTCATCTACCATTAAGGGTGATCAATCTGTGCAGCATACAAGAGTTTCCAATTACAGAGTTTCCAATTCTACATCCAATTCTGTTTCCCGTTCAACATCCTGTTGAAATTATCCCAGATTTCTCCCAATATGGAAAATGCATAATTCCTTCTATATCTAAGTAATACACAACCTAATAATATCTAAAAAGCTATAAACTGGGACACAGAGATGTTATTTAATCTCATTGTTGGGAATTGGAAGCTGCGTTATTTTGCAAGACTGACTGGGAAAACAAAATATTTTGCTAAGATAATGGAAATCATTCCTGCCAAACAAGAGACAATAGCCATGCATTTTTACCTATTTGCCCCTATTTATGTATTACCACACCAGATTCCAGTTAACACTGGCATGTATTTTGCTCACAAAGTAGTGATAATGCACAAAACAAAGGTAGCCTCCCCAGCATTACAATGACATCTTGTAAAAAAATATACGAAGTATGCAAGCATCCCTGGGAGACCAGTCTCACCACAACATCATCCCAAAGCTGGCTACAGACTTTCAGCTCTCAGCCCTCCCTGGGAAATTTTGTATTATGAATACTGCAGCACAGTCACTGGAGAGCTGCCATCACGTAAGTCTTTTCTCTTGTCTGCTTCTCAGAATATTTAAGGTAGAAAATCATTATCGGGTCCCATTCTGACAAAGGAACACACAGAAAACAGGTCTTGCAAGTGGGTGAATACTGCAGCCAAAGTGGATGCCATGCCAGGATATAGCCTGTGCTGATTATTACCTCCAGAAATGTACTCACTGAAAGAAAAAACAAAACCACAAAATTAAGTCAGCTGTCCATCTCCAAAAGATAATCTCTCAGAAAACAGGAGCGAAAACTGGGGAAGGTAAATCCCTTTTCCTTGGTCAAGACAAGCTACCAAATTGCCCGTTATTGTTACCCAGCAGTAACTCTGGTGGAAAAGGAGAGATTTGCTGAAAGAAAATACACTAGGATGTGTAGAATATCAAATTCAGAGTATGGAATTATTACTGTACCTCCAAAAAGAGACACCAAATATCCACAAGTATACCTCTAAGAATGAACTGAAATTAATCTTCAAGAGACACTTTAGTCAGTTTGGGATAAGGATATTTGAGTACTGCAATTTGATTTTCAAGCTCAACAAATC